CTCACACTCCCTGCAGCGTTCAGATAATGAATTTAATTAGAGTAGTTAGCAGAAAGGAGGCTTTTTGCAGATTCCTCCAGAGTTTTATTTCATTTTTTCAAGCTTTTTCTTTATTTTGTGCAACATATTTCAAATATTTAACAAACCTTTGTATCTACAGGATTGTTTGATGCAGTTGATTTTGTTCCTTTGACACTGTCAATTATTATATCTTTAAAAGGGATATCAATGAAAGTTCCCTTTCGTTTTTTTAATTCCATGACATCTTTTTCCATTAGCACCTCTTCATTAGCCATCCACTCTGGTTTAGAAATTGGTGTCAAGATCTGTCAATATAACAATGTATTTTAGAGTATTTTGTACAATTTGGAAATCATATATATATATATATATGTATGTATTCTGTAAATCTGAGGAGGATGGCTCAGCGGTAACTCTGAGGGGGACATGAGAGTAGGCATTCCGAGGGGGATACAGAAGTGGTCATTCTGAAGGGGACAGGGCATTGAGAGGATAGGATAGGGGACATCTGAGGGTAGTGGACCTTCTTACAGGTCAGTGGGCACTCTAACGAGGATAGGGCAGTGGGATAGTTGATGAGAACAGGGCAGTGGGCAAGCTAAGGGAATTAGACAGTCCAAACTCTTGAGGGCAGGGTAGTTGTCCCTTTCAAAGGTCAGTGGGCACTCTCCTAGAAATCCTGGACAGGCTATTGAATATATATATTTTATGCAAAACCCATTTCTTGAAACAATTTCTCAATAGTATAATATTAAAAAAAAAAGCTAAACGTAATGGTGTTTGAGAGTAAAAAAAACTCACCCTGAGGCTAAGTCGAATTTTTATGTAGCTGTCCGGCTTAGATGTCAGGAAATGAAATTTCTGGTCCACATCCATGTCCTCTGCAGCAAGCAGATCTTTCAAATGGATGATTTTCGTTCCTATTCGCTTGTGAGATTGGGTATCCTTGATCTGTTACATGAAATGGAAAAAAAAAAAGAGGTATAATTACAACATTCTTTAAAAAAAATTTCAATTGCATCAGCTTTTCAAGTACAATTCCTTACTTCATTCCATCCATGTTGAAATTTCGCTGACTTCAGAATTCATTTTGTTTAAATAAACTTTGGTTTTCTGTTGTGTGGGCTAGTCAAAAGGTAAATAAACATAAAAATGACAAAATATCATATAGTCTGAAAGAAAATTTTCGATAGCAAATAAAATAGTCTAAGCATTAAATATTGTAAATGAACAAGCTGGTTTTAAAGAGCAAATTTTAAATATTTTAGCATCTGGATCAATAAGCAGCATATACAAAAACAAGAGGTCATAGTTTTCATAAAATCAGAAGAATGCAAGGCATAAAATGTCAGAGTCATTATTCAAAAATTGCATTTTCAACTGAAAATATTTAATCTTGCATCGGCGCTGTTCAAATTAGTTCAGCATCCTTGAAACAAACACAAGACACAATTTTTATTTTAAATGAATGCATCAAACATTTAACCCTTTGATATCTGATATTTCACTATGTTTTTTTTTGTTTTTCAAATGTTTGATTGGTTACCTCTATCGTCAGATTTTGTAAATATGGGTTATGCACCATGAATCGAAAATTATTATTCCATTTAGGGTCATTTGTGTTGTATTTGATAGAACTGTTTTTCTTCTGTAACTGTACAGACAGAGTTGCCTGAGGACACAGGTCAACTTTCTTCCCTTTCTGAAATTGAAAATAAAGAGCTGTTGAATTTCCGCAAAGTTATAGACTGACTCAGCCTTAGAAAGGATTAAAGATGTAATATGAATAAGATACTAAGATCTTGTTAAAAATTATTTTTTTAAAAAATTACAACACTAAAAGTTGATTCAGTAAAAGAAAATTTCATAACTGAATAAACTTTAAAAAAAACAAAAAAAAACTTTTGTAAATTTATTTATCTATATTACGGTAAAGGTACTAACTTAATTCATCAACAGTTTTTTTTCTAGACTTTATAAAAGTAATAAAAAAAAAACATATCCCCATTTCATAGAGAAAAGAATTACAAAAAAATATGCCAAAGCCAAATAACCAATCAAAAAAGTTTAAAAAAATCAGTAACCAGAAGTCCAAATAAATCAAGTATAAACATTAACAGCCTCATCTCCTAAATGGAATGCCAAAAATAAATCTTAATTAAATAAAATTACCTGGAAAACATGAAAAAAGCTTAAAAACACAATTGGCTCAAAATGCAGGCACTCAATTTCCTTATTTTCAAAATTATGCTTGCAAAGAACAAAATAAGCGGTCTGACACTCTAAAGCCTGTTTTTGGCCGTTACCTTGATAATGGAATATCAACAGCAATCAAATTAAAATATTATCAGAACAATAGTTGAAGAAAAGTGATAACCTTAAACTGCAAAATAAAATCACTTGAAAATTGTGTCTTAAAAAGGAATGTGATGGTATCATGAACATTGATTATTTCGATTATATTTATTTGAATAGTGTTTTCATTTGATGAAACTGTCACTATCACTTCTTTATAATTGAATATTTCTGTCATATAATTCAGCTTTAGTTAATAAAAGTTTAAACTTACATTGCTATGATGGATGCAGATTTTCTTCACACTAATATCTACACACTTGATAATTTTTTAATTCTTTCCCCTCTTTTGTTTTGTATGTTGTTGCTTTACCCTCGTTGATTGTAAAGATGGTTTCCATGAATTTGTAAGATTCTAAAACACCTTATTTTTTTTAAAAACGTATTTGGGACACTCAGAGACACAATTTTCAAAGATCAACATTTGGTTACCTGCGTCTATAGAGAATCAGAAGTTGGAGAGCATATTATATTTGTGAGGTAAAAAGATAAGATACATAAGGATAATATTCGAGGGACTGCGTTGAAGCCGAGTATTTAAATAGTGGAACAAGATGAGTTTTGGCTTGAAAAGTAAATTTCTGCATCCCTGACACAAATACATGACATTGTTATTTTAAATGAATGCAACAAGCAGTTGACCGTGCCTATGTTGTCACGCCCCCATGGTGTTAAATGAATTTTGACAAGCTCCTGGTCTAGGAGAATTAGATAAGGGGCTAACACAGGTAGATTATAGACACATTACTGGCCCTAATGAAGACAATTAGTGCTCTAAATATAAGTGTACTTTATTATATGGATTGAAAATATGAATAAAGATACAGAAAATGTACACAATCATAAGAAAATATGAATAAAGGTTTAACACTAACAATATCTAATCCTCACAGTAATATAAAGAGTACTACCACAAGTCTATGTTCCTGGAACAAATATGTTATTGAATATGTACTTGACTTTGATTACTATTGCTGCTAACTAATGGGTGGCGTTATCTATTCCTAAACAAATGCCATTGAAAGCTAGTCACACATCTTGTCTCTAAGAGTCTCTCTCTAACTGTAGGGGAATACAGTATTTATTCAGATTAATTTTGTGTGGCTTAAATGTAGGCCAAACGTTCCCTGTGGGAACTAGTCAGGCACCTTATTTATCTAATGACTTATCACTCTTACTGCAATGTGGTATGCAGACAAGGCCAGGTCAGTGGGATAAAGAAATCAACCTGCACTACCCTGCACTACCACGTAACAATGTAAAAGAAAACACTTCCCACTTGCAGGGAAAATTTCTCTAAATGTATCCTCTAAGTTTTTCTTCTTCTTTGTCTTGTCTTTTCTTTCGAAGCCTAAGTATATCTTCTTCAACTATTTATTTAAGAGACTAAATCATGGTTTGATATTTTTTTTAAAAACAACAAAACACCATAATGCTAGACTTTTTTCAATACAAACTAAATATAATGACATGATGGTATTGTCTAAAAATTGTTTAAATTTAAATGCATCAATCAATGTTCATCAATCCACTAATTTGCTTCAGCATTTAACAACAATAGAGCAATGAATATTTTAAAAAATTTTTTAATTATAAATAAATGACAGCTGTGAAATTAAGGAAAAAATATATGGCAATATACACATTGACGAACTTAGTTTTAGTACTTAGTTACAAAAGAATAGTTTCTCATAATCTAATTCTATTTCCCATATTTATTATACCTGTTTTCATATTTGTCAACTAATAATATTTAAAAGAGCCTAAAAAGTCTCAAATGAAAATGTTCGCAATAAATAGGACAAAAATAATCATGATAAAATCTATATCTTGAAATCAGCTGTCTTATGAACCTAAGTGTAAATTTCCATGGTTTTCATCAAACTATCAGCCCTGCCAGAGCCTTTCTTTATGTTAGTGGCAAGTTAAAGCAAGAATTATGAAAAACCAAGTTACAAAAATACTTTTAAGTAACAGTTAGTGGTGTACTTTATTATTCTTAACGAAAATCTGAAAAAGCTGTAACCATCTTTTTTTTTACAACTCCAACTAATGTAATAAAATAAAAACAAAAAAATATTTTTAAAAAGTCTTTCTATGAAAAACAAGTTTAAATACACTAAAAAGTAGTAAATAATTAAAAATTTCTTTGAATGCATGCTATGTAGCAAAAGGATTCGAATTGAATGTAGATGAAACAAAATATGTTTTATTTTTTATTAATTTTTGAAAATATTTTCTGCACAGACTTTTCTTGGGTAATGCATTTTAAGAAATTTTAAATTATGCGAGGAGAAAGAAAGTTAAAAAAAAACTGTATTGTACCTTGTTTTCTTCTTCTTTCAGAAGCTATAGATTAAACAAATTTAATGACTTCACATAACATAATATTTTTTGTGACAAGCTGAAACATGTTTTTTTTTTACTTAGGTCTTAGAGTTGGTGTGATTGGTTACCCTTAATTTATTGACACACAAAATGTATACGCATAATAACCCTTTAGATGAGTAAATCTTCCATTTGAAAATCAATGAACATTTATTTTTCATAACATTATAAATAGTTTTTGAAGATGGCTTCAGTTTGTTTGAAGAAAAACTTAACAGAACAACAGAATTAAAATTCTACCAGATACTTACTGGTAGATTTCCAGCACCGTCTAGAAAAACCATAAGTATTGCATTGTGTGCACCATCCACATCACTGTTTAGTTTAATCGCCTATTAAAATATCTGAATGGAATGAAGAATGATGACAAAAAAATAATATTGAATTATCAGAACAGTTTGCTTCCTATGGTTACAAAGTAATACTGAAAAGAAAAGTTATTTAAACTTCCATGAACAAAAAAAAAATATAAATGAAACGGAGTTGCATTATTAAAAAACATATTTAAGAAATTATAAATGATAATGCATAGTTAGAGCTAATAAATTAACTTCTTTAAACAGTGTATATTTAAGAAATTATAAATGATAATGCATAGTTAGAGCTAATAAATTAACTTCTTTAAACAGTGTACCATGTAAAAATAAAATAAATTATTATTTTTGAACATTTGTTCTTTTTCAAATTTCAATAAAAAAATGTGTAAAAGTTTTCCATGAATAATATATTAATAAAAAAAGTAAAGAAAAAATTAATTAAATTGAATAGTAGAAAATCATTGTTCGCCATTGATAGACATATAGTAGCTAATAAAATTATGCTAAATCTTTGTTAGATTGCCATAGATAAATAGTTTGCTTTCCTAAATGTGTACATGGTTGGTTTGGTTGGTTCATCAAAAAATGGTTCAGAAAACATAACAGGTTAAAATGAAAGAAAAATCAAAGAAGGTTAAATAAAAATCAAATCGTAATAACAAGTTTTAAAAAAATCATATATTTTAAAATTGAATGACAGAAAGGGGAAACGGTATTAATTCTTCAGTGCATCAACCATATTGTTTAACTTTCTTTTTGATTGCATTTATAAAAATAATAAAATTATTCAGAAAGTTATTTTCTAAAGTTATAGCAAAACCAACTCAAACAACAACCATGACTTACCATTTTGTCAATATTTGATGAAGTAGATACAAGTGAGAGAGGAATGCCAAGGCAGCCCAATTTTTTAAAAATATATGTAAAGACATTGTTTTAACTATGAAATTATTTTATTTAGTTATATTACTGCATTTATTTTTTAGTAAACAAAAGGAAAATTGGTTTCAACAAACCTGACTGACCTTCATCTTTTTACAAACAAAGAAAAAATCTAATTAAAAAAACAAACAAAACATTTTGTTTTTATTGTTATAGACCAGTGGTCTCTAAACTTTTCAGCCCGAGGGCCGCATTAACTATCAAACAGCAGTCCGGGGGCCGCATACACACTCGAGGTCCAAATAAAAAAGAATCAAAACACGGATGTTGTTTCTAATTATTTATGTATTATTATTTCATTCAGTTATTGTTTAATAACACATTGATACACGACACATGATGGGGCCGCATACACACTCGAGGTCCAAATAAAAAAGAATCAAAACACGGATGTTGTTTCTAATTATTTATGTATTATTATTTCATTCAGTTATTGTTTAATAACACATTGATACACGACACATGAACACCGTATTAGTATTAGTATGAATGGTGAAATTGTTTCCTGGATGCCAAAATAGCAGTGATCAGCAGACATTTCTGGATTTAGATTTGATGTCCCTAACATCAACAGTGACCTGAGATGATCATCGGACAAATTTGTTCTCAAATTGTTCTTCACTTATTTCTTTCTTGAAAATGTTTGTTCACACAGGTATGTTGTTCCCAAGTTTTGTACATGTACATTGATGCAAATGTTTTGAAATTAGGAAAGTCTTCCTTGGGCGAACTATTTAAAAAAAAAACTGGTCCTTCTTTTAACTTGTCCCTAAGGAGGTCATTTGCTTGCAACTCAATGACCTCCGGGTGCAGTTCCTCTGGGCGACTGGCCACATCTGCTTCAAAAGGGTTTTGAAAAAGGCTCACTTCTTCTGCCTTTGGATCCAAGTCAGAAAACCGCTGCTGACACTGCAGTTGGGGGTCTGATGATTTCGCATACTAATGACGTGGGGAACTCCGCTGTTGCTTCAGCCATGAAGACCGTCCACTGCTGAAAGTGCTTCAAGTTGTTGGCCTATGAATTTGTTCCAAAAACCAAGACGAATTTGGATCTGAAGGCCTATAGATCAGAAACTAGATTTTCCTCTCCTTGTAGTTTAAGGTACAGAAAATTTAAATGACTAGTTACGTCTGCAGCAAAGACCAATTTCCATACCCACTCTTCATCAGACAGTAATGGCTGTGGCTTGCCTTTACTTTCCAGGAAGCCATCTATTTCTTTCTTAACTTAAATACTCTGCTCAGAACTTTCTCACAATTTAGCCATCTTATTGCTGTGTAATATGGTAAATCTTGCGATTCTGTGTCTGTATCTTTTAACATGTCTCTGAACTGTCTATGGTTGAGCCCAAGTGACTAAATTAAATTAACCCTCTTTACCACAGGATTCAGTACGCTGCTAACGTCCACATAGTTTTCACACAAAGCTTTCTCCTGAAAAATACAGTGCAGGAACATTGGTTGCAAATGCTTTTTCTCATTACACATCTGCTTCACTTGTCCAACCAAGTCTTTCTTTATGCCACTCATGTTCTTTCCTCCATCAACAGTCAGGCAACTGTGGTTAGTACAGTCCAAGTTATAATCAGCAAATGTTTTTTTCAACTCATTGAATATATCCTCTCCTGTAACAGTGTCATACATGCTATGTAGGGAAGCCAGCTCTTGGGTTATTTTCATGTCTTCATCCACACCTCTAAAGAAAACATGCAGTTGAGAGGTGGAACAGCTGTCCAGCGATTCATCCGTTTCAATTAAAAATTGGCGAAACTTGCTTGCATTTTTCGCTATTAGAGTCACAATGTTTTCACCCATGTCTGCAACACGGCGGGCAAAGCTCCGTCACTATATGGCGTTATATCATCTCATCTGATTGACTGTGAACGGAAGTAGAAAAACTACGCAGCGTCCTAGGTTTTGCTAAGTCATGATCGGTTTGAAAACATAAGGCACTACTGCGCGCCTCTATTTTAATTCGGTAAAAACATAACGTCCACGTAAGCGGCGTCTGATCTTGGCAGAATACACGTAAATTTCCGTATTTTTGTCCGTAGACAAAAAGGTCTCCGCGGGCCGCATGAGAGGGCTTAGCGGGCAGTAGTTTGGAGACCCCTGTTATAGACCAAACTTTTAAATCTCAGAGACATGTAAATTCTAATAGGGAAGGGGGCAGAAATTTAGAATTTCACAATGCTTTTTTGAGAATGCTCTCCCTTTGTCTGACACAAATAGGGTTTATCATGAAAGGCTTTTGAAGACACTGCATATGCATGTGAATCAAAATAATTTTACATTCTTTCACTACCTAGGACTTGTTCAAACAACTTGAGACCAAAGGACACATTTACAAACATATTTGAATCTAATTTGTGAAACATAAACAATCTTAAGCATATTAAACATTTTTTTAAAAATTGGATGGTCCATAAAGAATAATAATAATAATCTGCAGATTTGATTATCTGTGAAAGTCTGGTATCCATACGAACATATATTAAGCTGAGGTTTGGGGGGGGGGGTCACAATTATGCAGTAACATTTATTGATATTGTATGAGCATGATGATTGACAGCTGGTGATGTGACAGTAATTACTCACTCTGTCAAGTTCCAAAGGGTCATTTGCCAACCAGAGCCAAGTCAGCTGAACATGAAGCATGCCATGTTGAACATCCTCCAAAGGCAGCCACTGTAAAAATAAAATGAGCTATTATCATTTTTGTTATCTGTGTCTAACAGATAATATTTTTACTTAATATTTTATAGTTAATGGAATTGATTGATCATATGCAGAAAAAATGCCGGTTAAAATGATTAGAAAGAAACTAAAATCAAAAAGGGGACTTAAAAAAAATATCTAGTGTTAGTAATCAAATAAATTTTTAATTGGCATAATGTTACTGTTTTCTCCCTCTCAACAAGAAAAAGTGAGTTTAAAATTCCCCCAGGGTCGTCCCCAGGGAAAGGTAAATAGCAGTTTGAAATGGATTATTCATCCAAGTAAGATGGGAGGATGTAAGCCGTTAGTAAAAATAATAATTAATCACTGAATTCAGAAGGAAGTAGCCAATATAGTGTCTGATTAAAAATGACTGTAGTCTTATCAGTTACTTTACTTTTGCATTAAAAAAAAATTTGATTTTTATAAAATGGCAGGGGGTACATGACATTCTGAATCTTCCACAGTTAAATTTATTCTATTTAGCTTCAACCAAATTTGATGTCTCTTCAATCTGAGTGCAGCTGATCAGTTTCCTCCTCAAAAGATCATCTTAAAAATTTTGTTCACCATAAAAATGGGGCAGCATATAGCTTAAAGTCTTGAATTACATAACAGTTAATGAAACTACCTACCACATCATCAAAGCCGTTATTACAAATCTCTGATAATTCCATGCTCACACTGTAGAGTAAAAGATTATAGCATTTGTTTGAACAGTTTAAATGTGATTTAAAAAAACAACTCAATTTGATGCCTTTAGAATCCATAAATAAATTTAAAAAATTATTTACTGTTAAAATTATTTAGTGTTAATTTTCAATACAGCTTGGATGTAGGATAAAAAAAAATACTTTTGTATTAAAACATTAAAAATAGTAATACTAATTTAAATCTTGCTTATAATTTACACTGGTTTCTGAAAAAAACTTTGCCCTAATTTGATAAAGGTTTTGTTATAGTGCCCTAGTACACAGTAAATAGCTTCTCAAAATTATTTAACTAGCAACTCAACATTTCATACTGAAACATTTTTACATTTTTAGATACAAATTTTTGCTTCTTAATGTTCATTTGATGATATCAGCTTCTTCAATCTAGTATTACCGTTATTAAATGTAGGAAGTGAATGAAACATATTCATTGTCATTTCATCATGAATATAAAATAATTTTAGGTATTGAGTCCTTGCTCAAATAGAGATAACCCAAAAAGTCTATTGCCAGATTTGAAAGTGACAAATATTAAATTTCATGTAAATAAAAGTGTTTGATAAAACAAATGCAAATGTTTGGGGTATTTAAAGAAAACGTACATGCACAGGTCATCCTGCAACTTCCTCCTACCCTGTAACCATTTACACATATGCCCTGAAACCACTATAAGATATTGCAGCATCTGTCAAGGGTTATGTGTAGATCATTGTTTTCATGTTTGATAAGGAAAAGATGTTTAGTTAGAGATTTTATGTGTAGCTGTATCGATTGTGTGAGAGTGTTGTGACGTAATTGTGTAAGGGGAAATGACGCGTTAGTTTTCGTGGTTGTTATGGAAGGATTGATGGCGGATATACTGCATGAACTGTTTGGATTTGTATATTGAGTACTGTTTGGTTGGAGTCATTTGATTCTCAATTCTGAAATTATACATCAACCATAGTTAATGGAGTAGTGTTAAATAAACTCCTATCTAGCTACAAACCTGTTGACGTTGGTTGTATTATTAACTGTTGATATCAGCTATACTGTTCATGGGATCAAGTGAGAGACTTGGCCAGGCAAGTAGACACTCATTGCCATGAGTGGATAATTACAACTCAACAGATACAACGGTTCGACAGCATCGTTTTATTATAATAGCCTTGATGCACAGGCCATCCCCAACTTCTTTCTAACCTGGAATCACTACTACATATCGTAGCATCTTGTATTTAAAATTAGTCTTAAAATCTCTAATAATAAATGGATACATATAAGAGATGAAAGAATGGGCAGAAATTGATCAGCTGTAAGGTCATGCTATCCTATTAATTTTTAACATACAATTAAAATAGGACAAAACAAGGGAACAAAGCTAAACCTTACTTTCCCAATGGATCATCTCTAGTTCCAATGTCCCTGTCCATCACATCAAGGCACAACAGCTGGCCATCAGCCTCATCTACGATCAACTCAAAAGTCTGATTCCATTCTGGGTCTTCTGTATTTTTTATAACTTTTGTTTTAACTATTTGTGCCCCAACTAAAAAATAAAAAGATAATCACATGAAACTCTGTAAAATTGTCAAAATGCATGTATTTGCCAAAACTGGATGCCACAAAAAAAATTCAGGGTATAATTTAGAGACTTTCGTTAGATATTTCATAAAACCTGTGTTTTCAATTGTCTAATGCTAAAAAATTAAATTAAGTGAATTGGCTATTTCCATCTAAATAGAACAAGGCTAAAGGAAAATATTAGAGATGATAAAGTACTTTCAGAGAGCTTACACCATAATCAACTACACAACTTTGATAAGTGATTGGAATAATTTAAATGAGGTCCTCAGGACTTGAGTTGGTGAAAATGCATTTATAATAAACAATGCAATAGTTTAAGTTATTGTTAATAAATTTTATTGAAAATATTTAAAAGAAAAATTACTGATAGTGAATTTTATATTTCAAATTTACATGAAATGAGTGGTAGTTATTTATATTGAAAGTACCGAATCTCAATTTACTCCCGCCCTAAATGTGTCTGACCACAGCTTTATATGGTCAATGTCCCTACCCTTATTAGCCAAATAACCTTCATCTATTTTAATTTTTTTTTAAAGCATCACTTAATTAAAGGACCACTCCTATAAATTTCAAAGGCCCCTTTGAACAGAAAAACAGACTGAATGAAAGCTTCATTTTAAAAAAAAATTTGGAATGTTTGTAAGCAATTATTAAATGTTTTGTTAGCCTGTGCAAATTTGGACAAATATTTGCAAAATGTTTTGAATAACAAGAGCAAACACACAAATCAGACCAAAAAAAAATTAAGCTAGCTACCAAAGGAAGGAAAATTATAATACTTGGTCACACTAACTTAGGCATCTGATTTACCACCAATAATGAAATAAACTTTATCTCTAGGCACCGATATAAAATTTCACAGGGCACATGTTTGTGTATAAGAAAGTTTTGATGGTATTAACATATTATTTCCATTTCACCTCTGATTATGACATAAGGATCTGAATGCCCACGTCCTATTATGCGAATATCAGCTCTAATCAGATTTTTTGCTTCCAAAACTTTAACTCGGAGAATTCCCTGCAGTAGAGTAGAAATTTAAATGCATTGTATTATAGCAAGGCTTTTCAAAGCTAGGAACTAATGTGAACTGCTGCATACATTTTGAAGTGTTTTCATAAAGGCATTTTGGATGGAAAAGAAAATGACTCTTAAAAGCAAAGTCTTTTGTATAAATCCTTTACATGCATTTTTATTTTGCATGGATGTAATTGTACGTGATTTAATCATTTAGTGAGAAGCCGTTATGTAAATGTGTAAACTTCTGGCAAAAACACGTTTCATATTTTCTTCACTTTTCTCTTTAAAAATACATTAAATATTTTACTGCATACCCAAATACGTCATAAATACAAAGCACATAGCAACAGCTACCCGTTTAATTTACACACCAAAACACATTTTAAAAGCAATAAGATTCCTCCCCCCCTTGAAAAACAAGAAAAACTGATTTTTGGGTGTGGGGCTGAACATTCGAGAGAATGTTTTGTCATCGCAACGAGTCCATGTGCCAAGTTTTAGATCAATATGATAATGGGAAGTGGGACAATTAGCCAGGCCCGCACATAGGAAATTCTGGGCCCTTGGCAGCTGACAGAGTTCGGGCCCCTTTCGTATTTATAAAATGTGCATATATTTTAAAAGGGAAGGCCCCATATCTACAAGTGCCATGGTTGTCCCCCAAGAATTAACCTTCTGAAGATTTTGCCACAAACACATGAACAACAGCGAAGTTAATTATAAAGGATTTAATCATTTTTATTTTTGTGTTCGCCCTAAAAAATTCATCCAGGCAGCCCCACAATCATAAATTTTGTAAGAAATAGTTGATTTATAATCATCCGGCCAGAATCCTAGTTTCATCTACTACACTTCAGAGACTAGCATGATGAATATAAGTTTAATTAATCTTTTTAACAAAACGGTTAATGGGGGTTCATGATCAAAACAGTTAGTGACCACTGTATTATAAGGCAGGTAAGCCACCACTATTAAACACTGGTTTTTAATCATGAGACATTCTGACCAACTCTAAGTGTGGAGAATATTGTTTGCATAAATAGTTAAATACCTGAGGATGAGGGTTGCAAAATTTATTGAAATCCAAGCCTTCTGCAAGCTTTATAGGAAATCTGTTAGGCAGTACCATGAGGACGCCTATTTGCTCAAGGAGGACAGAGTGCAGCTTGTGTCTAAAAATATGAGAATTAAAGCGCAGTTTCAACATTAAAATAATATCTTAAGAGTACATGTTCGATAGTTTCTTAATTTGCGAAAATGTGAGGGAAATGAAGACAGATGGCATGAAGCATCACAAATTTACATTCCAATGAAGCTTCGTGTAAAGGCTGTGGGCCATTTGCTCTCTGTAAAGAGAAATAACATTTTGCTTCATAAACTGATTTTATACTGTCCAGCTGATTGTTGTATTACTTAATTTGGTAATGTACCAGATGTTTGCTGCGTAGCCTGATACACACATTTCACAGCATATTGTTACAACTAACATAACATAGACTCAACATAACTGAAATTTTGCACTGATTATTATTTTTTCTAAATAAGGAAAATATTATAACTAACCTCAGACCTGGTAGCTCGAAAGCGTTGGCTAAACCCGTCAAATCGAAGCTCAGTTCCTGTATGGAATTAAAGCAAACCGTTAATCCCATCTAAAGCCATTTTTGAAGATACCAAGTAATGCTGCTCTGTCAATCATGACTAGAAGATTTACCGAAATAGCAGAGAGTGGGAGGCACTTACAAAATGTTATGGTCTTACTTAAAATCTACAAGAAATTATTGCTGTGAGTGTATATATAATTGCCCATCACATAAACATTGTTTAGCATTTCTATCATTGTCCATCACATAAATATTTGTGGTGATGAAAAATATGACCCTGTCAATGGCAACCGTTTATGCTTAGATCCACCCTCTAGCCATCTCAAGCTCTTTACAAGTAGCTCAGATGTCTTGAAATTGTGTCAGTTATACTAATTTGATGAATCTATAGTACTGTAATATTGAAGGGTTTTTTTTTGTACCATTTGCCTTAAAAAATAATGGGTCCTGTTTACCTTTGTTTAATAGTGACTGTATTAATGGCAAATAAATGGAACCAGTACAGACCCAAATTAGACAGTTCGTGTCAGATGAGATCATTAAAATACATACAGCACAATCAATAGACTTTTTTAAAAATAAAGATTATGTTCCTTAAATTTTTATTTTGTGATTTTAAAATGATACATACTGGATTATTGAAGAAGAAGACCAACACTCCCCCAAAGAATGGGTTACGGTTGATAAGTGGTTTAAACACAAGTCGTAATGTACCAGACAGCTGGATATAAAAAACAAAAAAATAAATAAAACTATCATTAAAATACAATGGGAATGTCAAAGTTTTAAATAAAGAATGGAATAGATGAGAGTCTTTGCAACACAGATCATGTGACCTTATTCCTTCATTTCCTAAAGTTGAAGAGTCTTACATAGAAGAATATTATTATTTTGAATAAAAATGCAAACATGAACATGCTATAAATGTATAATACCCAAAATTCCAAATGCTTTAAAATTGCTTGATTACTCACCATAAGATCTTTAAGTCCTGCCTTCATTTTTTTAGCAATCACTCCTATTTTACAGTCACTGTTGTAGCTGTTGAATGTAAAATAAGCCTTTTACAAATTAAAATTAACAGGATCCCCTAATTTTTGTGGCCAAGTAATAACAGAATTTTCTACTGGGGAAAAAGTATCTCTTTGCAATCATTTATTAAAATATTTTTAATAAAACTTTTATTAACATTTATAATGTAACTTTGTTATTAAATTGTTAAATTAGAGCTAAAAATGTACTTAAATGAATATTTTGGAGTTTTAAAGATATTTGTGAAATAAATTTTTTTTTAAAATTTTGGTGCTAAAGGTAATTCCTACAATATTAAATCTTAAAGTACACTATACACAGAAAATGTGTCTAATATTTATTTTAATAATGCAATGAAAATTAGTAAATAATATGGACAAGGATATATGCATTTTTGTAAATGTAATTAAAATAATAAAATTTAAGTTACAAAACAATGGGAATCCCATAATGTGATGCAAGGGTTCTTAACCTTTATTCACCTCCACACCCCTTGAGATTTCAAAACATTTCCTGCACACCCATATATTTCCCGCACCCTAACAATTAAAAGTCCTAATAAAGAGCAAATAAACCTGATTTCCTGGGTCTTGCTGCAAACCCTGACACTGCCCCCCTATGATGTGCAGGCATCCCTGGTTGAGAAACAGTGGTGGAATTGCTCTTTGTTGAGAAAGACATGAATAAAATTTAAATGGCTTTCCATTTTTATGTGCTCTCATTAGTCAGACATACTTGAGTTCAAGGTCCATATGGATTTCATCCTTTTTTTGTTGTGAGTAGACTTTAACACTACCAATGCGAGGAGGCTAAAATGATAAGGGAACAATTAGAAATAAACTTTTCTAATAAAAAATACTTTACACGCTTAAGTTGGGGCTCATCACATGTACAATGAACTAATTATATCTTTAAATAATTGCACTAAAATGGATAATTGCAGTGTTCAAATTATTTTTTATTGTTAAATCGGTTTTATTTAAAATAGCATTTCTTTTTTAATGTAAATAAATGCATTTATGGGGTTTATGTTCTTTTTAAATTGAAAAGTTTATGGAATGGACAATTTTAAATATACTAATAATAATAAAGTTTATTTGAAAATCACTCTAGGAGATAGAACTGTGCCAGGTCATGCAAGCAGCGGTAGCACAGAGTTGCAATTTCGTACTCTGTGCGGGCGCGGACAGGCAGCCAATGCAACTCTCTCAGAAGTGTTTTAGCATGGTCAAATTTGTGTTTGCAAAGCACAATGTGAGCTGCATTATTCTGTGCCGTTTGAATTTTATCCAGGAACGTAGCTGGAAGACCCACCATGAGATCATTGCAGTAGTCTACATATAATATCAGCTTAACACCTGTAAATTGTTCAATAAAAGAATCTTAAATAATAACTTTAATAACTTATTTAAATTACTTTTAGAGCCAACATTTGATGTCATATTGAAATGAATAAAACATACTGTATCTCCAAGATCTATAGAGCTGAATCTAAATGACCGCAACTCCTGAGAACTCATTTGAATCGCGTGCTCCACTTGCTCTCTGAGAATTCCCTCTGCATATTCAGCAATATATGGCCACATATGGTTTATGATCTGTAACAGTAAAATGTAAAATAAAAATCAGAATTGAAAAATGAAATAACAAACAACTGGGCTTTATCACAATAAGGGCACACACAATAGCCGTAAATCAAAACAGCTGATCCATAAACAACATGATGTAAGTGCAATCTCTTTAAACAAGTTGTATTTTTTAAATATTTAAGCAGAAGTTGTGTCATTTTATGACATTAATTTAGTATTCTATTTTAACTTCTAGCTAAGTCTCTTTTCCAGACAGCTGACTAAAAATATTTAATTAATAGTTTTTTTAAAGTGTGGGCTTATTGTTGTGTAAAAAAGTAATCAATCTAGTCACAGGGCATTGAAAAATAATACTTTTATTACCTTATTCAACCACTCTACTCGTTCAATGTCTGGGAAATTAACCTGTGGCAGAGATGAGATATTAAAACTTTTTGGAAACTTCAACCGAATTTAATACCTCTTTAGGACTACAATTTTATACATCAGATGATGATGGAAATAATAATTTTTTAGATTGCCCTTTGCCTAGTTTAAGGTTAAGCCACATATTTTGTCTATTTTAAGGGTTAAGCTAATTATAATTATTTTGCGTAGTTTAAGGGTTAAAATTAAGAGGAATTATTTTGTAAAAGAAATGATAATCTAAAACTTTCAATTTAGGATTTTAAAAAATTATGTTATTGCATTTCATTAGTTTATAATTTTAAAAAAGAAATAACACCACAGGTTCAAAATATTTTTTATTGTTTGCTTTACCATGGCCAACAATGCCACATAGGCCTATTTTATAATTTTTAGATTTGTCCAAAATGTAAATAAATGTCTGAGTTAACTAGAAACATAATTAAATGGCATTGGTGAATCTAAATTAATTTTTTTTTGCACATAATCTGAGAGCACTTTAAAGCTAAGAAGGGCAAATTTAATATATTAATAAGGCATATTGTTAAGGCTGTTTTCATTTGTCATTAAGTAAGCATCATTTTGATTTGATGTGAAATAAGAAGGATGTTGAGATCTAAAGACTTGTGTCTGTGTATGGGAATGAAAAAATATTTTATTGATATTGGTCTACCATTTTATTCATAGAAATTAGAAATTGTTCCCCCAGAACAATAGTCAATAGGAATAAAAAAAATTAAATATTTTTTAGTGGTCACTAAAAACTGTTACTCTCTGTAATAGTAATAGCAACTTACCCACGACGGTAAATCTTCAATCCTAGACAAAATGACCTTTTCCTCATCTGCAGCAAGTTTCTGATACATTGAAAACTTATTGAACTTAGTTTTATAACGTAATTCCCTCCATATGTATGCAACCAAAAGAAGCCACAGCCAACTAATAGATAACTTAAAATAACCGACTAGCCAGACTGCGGAAAAAACACCAGCAAGCTTAAAATATTCAGTTATTGATGTGATTAGTAGACTGTCCTCTTCAATGGCTATGTTGGGGACGGATAATTTCTGGGTTGGATCCTTTCCTGACATTTTACCCTTTGCCTTTACTTTACGCAAACTTTGTTAGTTCCAGCTCTAGTGCAGAGCTGCAGATATTGCTTAATTTGATAAAAAGCAACGGTTGAATTCATAAATGGTAAAGTGAAGGCCGACGCCCCCTCTCATTTTTGGCGCTCTTCTCTTTTGATTCGTCGAACGCCCTATTACCAATAAATTGGCATCTAGTCATTATCGATGATTTGGTACTGAAAAAAACAACAAACGAACTAACTATAAACGTTATGTGAAATGTCATTTTTACCGAGATGCTCCCAAACTAAGACATTTTTGAGGCTTTAAATTATGTTTTTAACTCTTTAATAACGTGTAGTGTGTAAATTTGAGTGTGCACGGATATGTTAATAAGTCGTTAAAAACATATTTATATACACTTTTCAAATACATATGTAATCTCTAAAAAATTATTCCCCTCCCCCACAAAAAAAAAAAAAAAAGGAAAAAGTTATTGTGAATAAAAAAAATCCATCAACCCAAAGATAGACTAGTTTTAAAAAGGATACAATAAAGTAGGGCTGTTGTTACTTAAGGGCCGTCCATTAATAATAGTCATATAATTTTAATATGTCATGTGCAGTCAAGGTAAATGATATTGTTTGAGTAGGAATACGATATTTTGTAAATTAGGGGAGAATTAAAGTGAGTAACAATAATAACATCACTGCTTGAACAGATTTGCAAAGTCTTTAACATCTATTTTGCATCACAAGGGGTCGTCCATTAAATACGTCACCAATTTTCCCGCAATTTTGCCCCCCCCCCCTTGTCAACAACCTTCAAACTTTCGACGACCCCCCTATTTAAATATGTCAAAATTTTATATCCCCCCCCCCCCCGCCCCCGAAAAAAATGAATTATAATATAAATAAATTTACAAATACGTTTTAATTTAAATTTGTATTTTTAATTACACAAAATTGTAGGAAAAACATTTTATTACATCTAAAGCTTGTTAATCAACAAGTTTAAAAGTTTTTACACTGAAATTTCACAATGCAGAATCAGTTAAAAGTTTGTTAAAGACTAAATATAATTGTTTGTGGAAGTGTAAATATGATTATTGTCAGTATAGCTGAAAAGTATAGTTTAGTTATAGTTGCTATTATCTTCCCATGAAGTAAACAGGTGTTGTTCTATCGTTACAATGGGCATTTGGGTAGGTCAGGGAGGAAAATGGCAGGGGGGCATTTGCCCCCCCCCCCCCATTTTGCGGGGATTAGTGATAAACAACTTAACAAGCAGGCCAAGTTTTTTGGTTTTGGCCCCCCCCCCCCCTTTTTCCCCTGAAAAAAAACTAAAATGACGCTCCTGATGAGCATTTTCTATAGTAGCTGATTTATCATTTTCATCTTGCGGAACTGATATACCAGACAAGTCAACATCATCCTTATCTAACTATTTAGCACTTAAAATCGAAGCATTGTCTGTGTGTGCAATAGCTGCCATGAGCCCTCTCTGTCTTTCAGTTGGTATAGTTGTTATTGAACACATATGAGTTTTTGTTGTTTTTTTTTTTGAATTGAACACCGTGTACAATGGTGTGTTAATCATTCTAGGTATCTGATTAAGAGAAAAATGACTTCTCTTGCACTAACAAAGAGTGCTAACATTCTGACCAGCCATCTGCAGTGCACAGACAGACACGCATTAAATAACTCTAATATTGTTAAAAGCCTGAACATATATGACTATTTACACTCATTAAATTGTTTAAAATAATGTAAGAACCAGTCAATTTTTAAGATTAAATTTTTTATAGAGAAAACATGATTGTTGACGTCAACTGATCTAAACCCCCTCCCTCCCCCTTGTCAACAACTGTCAAACATTTCCAAACCCCCTCCCAGGGGCCCTATTTTCATTTTGTCTTATATAAGATGTATAAATATAATTTCATACCGTATGTGCTCCTATACCATCCATGTGATTGCGATAAAACTTTGATGAGCTGTAGTCCACAATCCCACGCACTTTTCTAAGTCATTACAACCCTTTTAAATTATTTCGTTTTGGGTCCTAAATTATTTTTTTTCTTGTAAGAGTTATGTAAAAATAATTTCCGTATGCTGTTCTATACTGAATTATTACAACCATTTTAATTCAGGGGCCCTAGATTCGTTTTTTTATTATATGAGCTATGCAAATATAATTTCAAACAGAGCTAATGCATGGATGGATAGATTTTAATCAAATAGCGACATTAAATCTTGTGTGTGACATAATAAGTAGTAATAAAACCATTCTACAATATTCATTTTGTTGCTGGGGGCCTAAATTAATTTTTACCCATATATTATTTAAATAAATATAATAATTGTCGTAAGCATTCATGTATTATCATTCATCCGATTGCGATAAAACTTTGGTGAATTTATATGCACACTTCCGGAAAGGTTTCTAAATTAGAACAATCATTTTACAATAATTCATTTTGGGCCAGTGGCCCTAAATTCGTTTTTTTTCTTACAAGAGCTATATAAATATAATTTCAAACAGAGCTATTGTATAGGTGTATTGAATTTAATCAAATACAAAGAGAGACATTTCATTTTGTATGTTACATAGTAAGTAGGTTCTGAATTAGCACCACTATTGCTCAATATTCAGTTTTTGGGCGGGGGCCCCTCAATTCTTTATTTACTGACTATATTGGTGCTATAAAAATATATTTTTTTTGTCTGCGTCCCTTTACCATTCATCCCATTATGATCAGAAGTTGCAAGTTGCTGTGCAACCGCCCGCAAAGGTTTCTAATTTAATACAACCATATTACAATATTCCGTTTGGGGCCGAGGGCTCTGGAGTTCAGAATGAAAGCTATCAATACACTCTAGCATCTTCCTACTGTTTTCTTCTCACAGAGAGGGAGAGTCCGGCATCTATTAATTGTTCTCCTGCCATTCACTTCCTAAACCTTAATCTTCTCTCTACCGAAATTCCATATTGGCCCGATTTTAAATGCCTTTTCAATAGTATGCTCTACCAAGTCACAGCGCTTCTCGTGCAAAAACAATCTTAAGGACTCTAGCTTGGTCACCACTTTGTAAAGAGTAAAACGTTTTTATTGCAGATATTGCTGTGTACGATTAAGTTCCTCGAGTAGATCACACCAAAGGTAAAGGTAGCAGACGTAAAAGACCTTGTTCAAACAACCATAAAAACTAAGTTTTTTTTCGTATAAATCCGTTACAGGCATTTTAAGAATTATTTTATTTATATTAATCTATATATATTTTTTGATGTTCTGATATAATCAGAAACATGTACGAAGGGATAAACTGCCGAGTTATCCATGGCCAGCAGTTGACAGATGCTTTCCAGGTGAAGACTGGTGTGAGACAAGGTTGCTTGCTGTCACCATTCCTCTTCCTGTTAGCCATTGACTGGGTGATGAAAACATCTACACAGCAGAAAAGAAATGGCATCCAATGGACCTTGTGGGATCAACTGGATGATCTTGACTTTGCTGATGATCTTGCACTTCTT